CCGGTGAGATACTGGCTTCATAATGTTGACAAACTACATCTTGTACATAACTCACAACTTAAAAAATCTTTCTTTATTTAAACTTGATATGGAAGAATACTGCTGTATCTGTAACAGAACTGGGTCAGTGGAGTTTGTTTGTTTGTTTGTTTCACATGTTGCAGCACGTGGTTCTGTGTATAGACTGACTGACTGAGTTTGGTTTTACGCCGCTTTTAGCAATATTCCAGCAACATCACGGCGGGGGACAACAGAAATGGGCTTCACACATTGTACCCATGTGGGGATTCGAACCCGGGTCTTCGGCGTGACGAGCGAACGCTTTAACCACTATGCTACCCCACCGCCCCCCTGTGCATAGAGCTCAGGTCACGAATCAGTTAAAGTTAAGCAACGTTGGGTGCGGAGAGTAATTGGATGGGTGATACATGTGGCCTCCCCTTAGGTTACGCAAGTTTGTTCAAAATTGCCTCTGTTCACCCATCTGAAAAATGGGTCTCCCTGTGGGATAAATCATGTGACTATAACCTTCTAGTGCTATCAGGCTGCTTGGGTTATCTGGGGGAATAATGTACTGTACTATTCATTGTTAGTGCGATGAGCATGTCTAGTGTGGAGTCTGGCGCTATCAGGCTGCTTGGGTTATCTGGGGGAATAATGTACTGTACTATTCATTGTTAGTGCGATGAGCATGTCTAGTGTGGAGTCTGGCGCTATCAGGCTGCTTGCGTTATCTGGGGGAATAATGTACTGTACTATTCATTGTTAGTGCGATGAGCATGTCTAGTGTAGTCTGCTACCGGGCTACTTGTACTATTGTTAGTGCGATGAGCATGTCTAGTGTGGAGTCTGGCGCTATCAGGCTGCTTGGGTTATCTGGGGAATAATGTACTGTACTATTCATTGTTAGTGCGATGAGCATGTGTGGAGTTGGCTGCTTGCCATCTGGGGAATCTGGTACTATTCATTGTTAGTGCGATGAGCATGTCTATGTGGCTGGCGCTTGCTTGGGTTATCTGGGGGAATAATGTATTGTACTATTCATTGTTAGTGCGATGAGCATGTCTTCAGTGTGGAGTCTGGTGTGGAGTCTGGCGCTATCAGGCTGCTTGGGTTATCTGGGGGAATAATGTACTGTACTATTCATTGTTAGTGCGATGAGCATGTCTAGTGTGGAGTCTGGCGCTATCAGGCTGCTTGGGTTATCTGGGGGAATAATGTACTGTACTATTCATTGTTAGTGCGATGAGCATGTCTAGTGTGGAGTCTGGCTCTATCAGGCTGCTTGGGTTATCTGGGGGAATAATGTACTGTACTATTCATTGTTAGTGCGATGAGCATGTCTAGTGTGGAGTCTGGCGCCATAAAAATGGACACATTATTTTGTTTGTTTGTTAAATGTCATATTAATTGTTCTGGATTGGACAGTCCAGTGATTGTCAGCCAGATAGTCATTGCTTCAGCCTTTGTGACAAAGGCTAGGGCACTTCAGTAAGGGGTCTTTCCTCCTCAACAAATCCAATCAGGTGTCTTTTTCCTTCTCTCTTGTTTTCCTATTTTGTTGTGAAAGTTGAAGCATCTTAATTCTTTCAGGTCCGGTAGGCTGCTCAGGGGTGCAAATAACTTTAAAATTGGTAGTGTACTCCGGAACAGTGGCACATGTAAAATCACTTGCCCTGATAATTTTTCCACTATACCGGACGTTTTCTTGTTGATTTTTTAAAATAAACAACATAATTAACATTGGAAAGTCAACTGGACACTGGCACAGTATGATATACAAATTTGCTTGCCCGACAGAAAAAAACACTGGACTCGGACGTCGGGCAATGGGTTATTTCCACCCCTGCCGCTGAACATTCTGGTTTTGTTGTTTCCCAAATAGATTGATTGATCAATTGTTGTTTAACGCCACACTCAGCAATATTCCAGCTATATGGCGGTGGTTTGTAAATAATCAAGTCTCGACCAGACAATCCAGTGATCAACAACATGAGCATTGTTCTACACAATTGGGAACTGATGACATGTGTCAACCAAGCCAGCGATACTGACCACCCGATCCCGTTAGTCGCCTCTTACGACAAGTATGGGTTGCTGAAGACCAATTCTAACCCGGATCTTCACGGGTCGTTTTCCAAAAAAGAGACTGGTCACTCTGTAATTGTGGGTATGATTTTATGGTGGTTGGTTGTAGGTCTGTCCTAGGACTGTATCATATATTGCTGACCCCCATCACCTCTCAACTATCCCATATTTCGCTTTTCCATCCCTCAGCATAAAGAAGTTCATGTTTTGATGACTGATCATATTTTTCAATGAAAAATTGCCTATGGATTGTTTATCAGCTTATCTGGCTGGTTTTGCTATTTGGTATATTTTTCTGAATTGTATTTTGGGTTTTTTTTTCATGGAAACAATTTGACTTAGTCTTACACGACTCGAGGCTTCATTCTCAAACTAATGATATTTTTGTGTGAAGCTACAAACTTTGCATTGAGTTTATGCTGAGCTGTTGCCTAATCATATTTTTAGGCTTTTATATTTCTTGTGTTTCTATGGAAGCAAGTTGGACTTAGTCTCAAACAAGTAGCATTTGTTGTTATTTATGCAAACAAATTTTTCCGCATGAAACCATTATCTTCATAAGTTATAATACAAAACACATTTATAGTAACAAACTGAATTTATGTATAAAATTTGGAGCTGGGGAGTTGGAGTAAAAATGCATTCTATTTGGATGTTGACCAAGCTAATTGATGGGTTAGCGAACAATGTAACCTTAAAAATAATATTAAAAGAGTGGCCCAAAATACTCATTTTATTGAAAATGATCATTTTGAAAACTGGTCAGTAAAGGAGTGCATTATATAAGAGACCTATGTGATGAGAATGGGCTCCTATCCTTTGTAGACTTGAAAAATAAATTCAACCTCAAGGGTACTTATCTGGACCATCATCGAGTTGTTAGTAATCTCCCTAAAGAATGGATAAAGGTGATAGACAATTCTAAACCTATATGTGTCTACGATCTTAGGATGAATAACTTTCTAATGGAATGGATTAAACCAGCAAAGGGATCTCGGAAGATCTATGATATACTTATGCAAAATAATTATCTCCCTATTATTTGTAGTAAATGGCAACAAATGTTCTTAACTGACTTAAACTGGAAGGAAATATTTAGTCTTCCTAAACAATGTTGTAGAGATATCAAGCTACAAGATTTCCAATATAGATTTTTGCATCGCATTATATACACCAAAAAGGAATTATTTAAGATGAAGCTGATCGACAATAGTATTTGTCAAAGATGTAACAATGAAAACGAATCGATTGTGCACGTATATTTTGAATGTCCACAGGTTAGTCTTTTCTGGTACAATCTGGAACAATTTTTGAGACAACATTTGTGTTATGAGATTCAGCTTAATCTTAAATCCATCCTCTTTGGTATCCAGGGGACCGCAAACTTCAAACTGGTGAACCACATTCTTTTGGCTGGAAAAAGATATATATACATAAGTTGTATTAGAAATGAATCTCTATCTTTCAAATCTTTTACTGCTACCTTGAAAGATATTTTTCAAGTTGAGAGATATGTTGCTAGAATAAAAAACCAACTAAATGAATGTATGAGTAAATGGCTACCACTACTCACAACATGGACCGATGTGTCATGACTCTTCAACAGCTTAAAGTAGAATTTTGAGATTGCGAATTACAATATGTGTCAATCCACGGATGGGAAAAGATATACATATTTAATGCATAAGCTGTATTAAAAATTTAATATTGACCCTAAAATCCTCCATCGCTTCTTTGAAAGATAGGTTGCCAAAATGAAAAACCAGCCAGACGAATGTGGAGTAAACGGGCGCCCATTACACAACATGTATGATGTGTTATGACTCTTCAATGTGTAAAACTTATGATCTTTGTGCAGTAATACTTGAATGTATCTACTCATGTTTGAAGACTGATGTGTTGTGAACTGTCAACATGTATAAGCTTGTATTAGGCATGACATCTGTATAATAATGTATGAATGTTTCTACCCCCTTGGTTACCCAGAAGGATACGGTGCTGTTATGAAAACGAACTAAATGAACCCAGGAGCAAACAAGCAATATTACTCATAACACCGACTTACCTAATTGCTTAAGCTTAGACGATCCGCAATTATACAACTTTGTTTGTATGATATTCGTATAAAACGATTGTAACAAGATATGTTTCCTGTCAACATATATGACTTTTGCAAAAAGTGAATGTACCTACTGATGTGAATAAAAAAATGTGGAAAAAAAAAAAAAATGATCATTTTACTTAAAATACTTTTCTGTTTAGTATAGTCTCATACTGTTCTCCAGAGGCTGCATCATTCAAGACCTGCACAATCTGCAGCAGCTGGACAATGTGGACGTCACTCGGGAGGAGCGAGAAGAGGCGGGATACCCGGTGTCCAGTGAGGAGGACTCGGATGAGACAGAAGAGGAGCCAAGACGCAGGATGATGAGAGAACATGAGGTGGATGGTAAGTTGATCACATGTGGTACTTGATATGTCTGTCAGGAAACAGGCTGTTATCATATATGTGTAATATATGTTAAAGGTTTACAAGATCATATAGATTTAGTGCAATTAATTGTAATAGTTTTGCCAAATGGTATACAACCACGGCAGCTAAGCAAAAGTTACATGCTCTAAATTTCCTGCGTTGTGTTGTTCCTCAGGGCCTCTACAGAGTCTAACGTCTGAGGTGTTGATGAGGTCACAGACTCGTCTAGAGGAGAGTCTTGCTGACCATCGCAGACACAACATGGAGCTGGACAATATTAGGCTCAAGTACAAGCTGCCCCCAAGTGCTAGATCCACTCCACACAACACCTGACTCCACTCCACACAACACCTGACTCCACTCCACACAGCACCTGACTCCGCTCCTCACAACACCTGACTCCATTCCACACAACCTGACTCCGCCCCACACAACACCTGACTCCGCTCCACACAACACCTGACTCTACTCCTCACAACACCTGACTCCACTCCTCACAACACCTGACTCCATTCCACACAACACCTGACTCCGCTCCTCACAACACCTGACTCCACTCCTCACAACACCTGACTCCATTCCACACAACACCTGACTCTACTCCTCGACAACACCTGACTCCATTCTACACAACACCTGACTCCGCTCCTCAAAACACCTGACTCCACTCCACACAACACCTGACTCCACTCCTCAAGACACCTGACTCCATTCCACACAACACCTGACTCCACTCCTCACAACACCTGACTCCACTCCACACAACACCTGACTCCACTCAAGACACCTGACACCAACACCTGACTCCATTCTACTGACTCCCTCCTCACAACACCTGACTCCACTCTCACAACACCTGACTCCACTTCCCTGACTCACTTCACACAACACTCTCCACACAACACCTGACTGACTCCTCCACATGACTCCACTCACACACACCTGACACCTGACTCCACACAACACCTGGCTCACTCCTCACAACACCTGATTCTGCTCACTCAACACCTTACTCCTCCACAACACCTCCACAACACCTGACTCACTCCACACCTTCACACACACAACACCTGACTCCACTCCACACAACACCCTGACTCTGCTCAACACCTGGACTCCGCTCCTCACACCTGACTCCACTCCACACAACACCTGACTCCACTCCACTCACAACACCTCACTACACAACACCCTGACTCCAACACCTGGGACTCCACACAACACCTGGCTCCACTCTCTCACACAACACCTGATTCCTCAAAACACCTGACTCCACTCAACACCTTACTCCACTCCACACAAACACCTGGCTCCACAACACCTGACTCACAACACAACACCTGACTCCACTCCTCACACTCACAACACCTGACTCCACACACAACACCTCACTACACAACACCTGACTCTACTTCCACACACAACACCTGGCTCCACTCCACTCCACACAACACCTGACTCCACTCCACTCTCCACCCTCACAACACCTGACTCCATTCCACACAACACCTCACTACACAACACCTGACTCCACTCCACACAACACCTGACTCCACTCCTCACAACACCTGACTCCACTCCTCACAACACCTGACTCCATTCCACACAACACCTCACTACACAACACCTGACCCCACTCCACACAACACCTGACTCCACTCCTCACAACACCTGATTCCACTCCACTCAACACCTGACTCCATTCCAAACAACACCTGACTCCTTTGCACACAACACCTGACTCCACTCCTCACAACACCTGACTTCACTCCTCACAACACCTGATTCCACTCCACTCAACACCTGACTCCATTCCAAACAACACCTGACTCCTTTGCACACAACACCTGACTCCACTCCTCACAACACTCCCCGTAACACCTGACTTTACTCCTCAAAACACTTGACTCCACTCCACGACGGATCGGCTCTACACAACACCTGACTCCGCTCCACACCAGATCTGCTCTACACAACACCTGACTCCGATCCACATCTGACCTTGCTCTACACAACACATGATTTCTCGCCACACAACACCTGACTCCGCTCCACATCTGACCTTGCTCTACATAACACCTGATTCCTTGTCACACAACACCTGACTCCGCTCCACACCGGATGTGCTCTACACAACACCTGACTCCGCTCCACACCGGATCTGCTCTACACAACACCTGACTCCGCTCCACACCGGATCTGCTCTACACAACACCTGACTCCGATCGACATCTGACCTTGCTCTACACAACACATGATTTCTCGCCACACAACACCTGACTCCGATCCACATCTGACCTTGCTCTACACAACACATGATTTCTCGCCACACAACACCTGACTCCGATCCACATCTGACCTTGCCCTACATAACACCTGATCACGATCTGTATTACCTGGGTAAGATCACATATCCCCATCTGTATTACCTGGGTTAGAGCACATGTCCCAACTGTATTACCTGGGTAAGATCACATATCCCCATCTGTATTACCTGGGTTAGATCACATATCCCGATCAGTATTACCTGGGTAATATCACATATCCCAAACTGTATTACCTGGGTAAGGGCACATATCACAGTCTGTATTACCTGGGTAAGATCACATATCACGATCTGTATTACCTGGGTAAGGCACATATCACGATCTGTATTACCTGGTAAGGGCACATATCCCGATCTGTATTACCTGGGTAAGGGTACATATCACGATCTGTATTACCTGGTAAGGGCACATATCCCGATCTGTATTACCTGGGTAAGGTCACATATCCCAACTGTATTACCTGGGTAAGGGCACATATCACTATGTGTATTACCAGGGTAAGGGCACATCTACTGATATCATCTGGTTGTTCTTTGGTTCTGAGACCTTATATAATTTGTTTCTTGGTTTAAGCTTCTGCCAACATTAAGAGTCAATAATTCAAAAACAATGTCCGAGTTGACCAGGCCTCGAAGATATATGGGCCATACAATTTTTTGTTGTATTTATGCCTTTACATGAATCCATCCACAAAGAACAAAAGCATATTTTCTATTTTTTATTCTACGTCATGGTGACAAGTTATTTTTTGAGACGTGTTTACATGTATCATTTATTTATTTGTGTTGTTGAAATGTATATATTCATTATCATTCCATTATAGTTCAATGTTGATAAAAAAAATCCATGTGTTATATGTTTAAAATGATAAGATTCATTTAGTCATCAGAAATGAGCAAGTTATGTTCAGGCCCAAATTCTTGAAGTTTGTAAAAATTGTATAATTGCCAAGAAATATATTGGCACAAAACAATGACAACATACCACAAAAACCTAAACACAGGTGTTGGGCTATAAACAGATATTACACTGATCGAGATTCATCACTTGTAGGGGCGGTGGGGTAGCCTAATGGTGAAAGCGTTGGCTCGTCACGCCGAAGACCCGGGTTCGAATCCCCACATGGGCACAATGTGTGAAGCCCATTTCTGGTGTCCCCCGCCGTGATGTTGCTGGAATATTGCTAAAAGCGGCGTAAAACAACTCAGTCAGTCAGTCATCACTTGTATAAGCACTACATATCTGAGAATCTCATTTGAATTGTCTTCATAGAAGTTCTGTTTATCTGACTACATTCCTGACAAAATGAACAAGATTTATCTATCCAAATTGAAAAATCTTCACAAATGAAAATTCCTATTTAATTAAATTAAAATTACTTAATGGTATGACAGTTAGTTTCAGTTGTCTTAAGAGCTTATTATTGCTTATTCCAGCAGGATCTAAGCAAGAGCTCATTTAGTTCTGATTGCTCGTTTGGAAGGAGATATAATTCTCTGTGACTTTGGCATGTCAATCTGTCATCTACTGGACCGAGACACAAGTGTATTATCAATATGTGATTGTATCTAGCGCTGGCTAAAATTATCGATAATCAGAAATATCATCGATTGGAAATATTATTAATGATTATCGATATGAAAATTGTGTGATCAATAATATCGTATATCAACTTATGTGATAGAATAAAAATCATAATTTTCTCACACAATACCAATTTAGGACATTATTCATTATCTGGTTCTAAATTGTGTTCAGAACGTAGTTTTGTTAATAATCACGGCAAAAATATGCCACCACTCCCAGTGATGTGAAATATATTCCTTTAATTCAGATAGTTTTGGCATTTTTGCTGAGTTAAGTCTCCGATAATTATCGATAATCGATTGATATTTTTTAGTTGATGATTATCAATTTCTATAATTTATATCAATAGCCAGACCTAACTGTATGTTCTTAAAGTATTGTTAAACAACCAATGTTTATATTTTTTACTTTGAAATAAAGGGTTTTGCATCTGTGTACTGTTGTGTATTGTGTTCTTATGAATTGGAGATACAGTTCCATTAGTGATTTGAATTCTGGGAATAGAGTGAGTGAGTGAATATGGTTTTACTCCGCTTTTAGTAATATTCCAGCAATATCACGTTGGGGGAAACCAGAAATGGGCTTCACACATAGTACAGATGTGGGAAATCGAACCCGGGTCTTCTGCGTGACGAGCCAATGCTTTAACCACTAGGCTACCCCACCGCCCCTCTGGGAATAGGGGTTAGAGATGCTAGGACTGCTGTCGTCACAAACAATTTTTGCTGTACAAACCTCGTACACCCGTGAAGGTCCGGGTTAGAATTGATCTTCAGTAACCCATGCTTGTCGTAAGAGGCGACTCACGGGATCGGCTGGTCAGGCTCACTGACTGGATTTACACGTCATCGTATCCCAATTGCTTAGATCGATGTTCATGCTGTTGATCCCTGGATTGTTTGGTCCAGACTTGATTAATTACAGACCGCCTCCTTTCAGCTGGAAGACTGCTGAGAGCGACGATAAACAACAAAGAAAGAAGAAACATAATAATGGTGGTTTTAGAGGTGTTGGAATGCAGTGAAGCTTTAGGTGTCCCAGGTGTCCCAGTCTGAGGTGCCTTAAATGAAAACAGGAAGCTGCATCGCTTGTATGTGCCAGGAACTATGGGGAAACTATCACTTCATCGTTAGTTTTCATACAAACCAATATTTTGTTCAGTATTGATACACAATAGGACTCTTGCTACAAAAAGGGTCCATGGGTTTTTGTAAGCCATTGAAAAATGTGTTGTAAAAAGCATCACCACTAAAAATATCTGCCGCTTGTCATTTGAACCTGCTTCGAAATTGTTTCAGCAGAGAAGTGGTCATGAATTATGAAACATATCCTATCGTGACCTATATATCATGATACACATCATATTGTACCACGACCTTTGTATCATACCATGACCTTGCCGTATTGTTTCACCAATACAAATACCTATGAAAGTGGGTTTATAAATGAACATTTAACTTGACTGTTTCTGGTTTAGTCAGCACCCTACACTACGGGTGTATTATTTCTGTATTGCAGCGATCTGTAAAAAATCGAGTCTGGACCAGACAATCAGGTGATCATCTACACAATTACATCTCGAGCATCAATCTACACAACTGGGATACAATGTCAAGTATCAACCTAGTCTGTCTCAAAGTCCCTGAACCACATCATTCCCCTTCTCCTCTGGGGCTAATGCCCCAATAATCTCCCATCTCACTGGGGCCCGTTTCTAGATTTCCACCGGTCTGGGTCTCCCATCTCACTGGGGCTCCCATCTCCCATCTCACTGGGGCCTGTTTCAATACATCTCCCATCTCACTGGGGCTCCGTTTCAATACATCTCCCATCTCACTGGGGCCCGTTTCAACATACATCCCCATCTCACTGGGGCCCGTTTCAATACATCCATCTCACTGGGGCCCGTTTCAATACATCTGGGGCTTCCGTTTCAATACATCCCCATCTCACTGGGGCCCGTTTCAATACATCCCCCATCTCACTGGGGCTCCGTTTCAATACATCTCCCATCTCACTGGGGCTCCGTTTCAATACATCTCCCATCTCACTGGGGCCCGTTTCAATACATCCCCATCTCACTGGGGCTCCGTTTCAATACATCTCCCATCTCACTGGGGCTCCGTTTCAATACATCTCCCATCTCACTGGGGCCCGTTTCAATACATCCCCATCTCACTGGGGCTCCGTTTCAATACATCTCCCATCTCACTGGGGCTCCGTTTCAATACATCTCCCCATCTCACTGGGGCTCTGTTTCAATACATCTCCCATCTCACTGGGGCCTGTTTCAATACATCTCCCATCTCACTGGGGCTCCGTTTCAATACATCTCCCATCTCACTGGGGCTCTGTTTCAATACATCCCCCATCTCACTGGGGCCTGTTTCAATACATCTCCCATCTCACTGGGGCCTGTTTCAATACATCTCCCATCTCACTGGGGCCTGTTTCTCCGTTTCTCATACATCTCCCATCTCACTGGGGCTCCGTTTCAATACATCCCCATCTCACTGGGGCTCCGTTTCAATACATCTCCCATCTCACTGGGGCTCCGTTTCAATACATCTCCCATCTCACTGGGGCTCCGTTTCAATACATCCCCATCTCACTGGGGCTCCGTTTCAATACATCTCCCATCTCACTGGGGCTCCGTTTCAATAATACCCATCTCACTGGGGCTCCGTTTCATACTCCCCATCTCACTGGGGCTCCGTTTCAATACATCCCCATCTCACTGGGGCTCCGTTTCAATACATCCCCATCTCACTGGGGCTCCGTTTCAATACATCCCCATCTCACTGGGGCTCTTGTTTCAATACATCCCCATCTCACTGGGGCTCCGTTTCAATACATCTCCCATCTCACTGGGGCTCCGTTTCAATACATCTCCCATCTCACTGGGGCTCCGTTTCAATACATCCCCATCTCACTGGGGCCCGTTTCAATACATCCCCCATCTCACTGGGGCTCCGTTTCAATACATCTCCCATCTCACTGGGGCTCCGTTTCAATACATCCCCATCTCACTGGGGCTCCGTTTCAATACATCCCCATCTCACTGGGGCTCCGTTTCAATACATCCCCATCTCACTGGGGCTCCGTTTCAATACATCCCCATCTCACTGGGGCCCGTTTCAATACATCTCCCATCTCACTGGGGCTCCGTTTCAATACATCTCCCATCTCACTGGGGCTCTGCTTTCAATACATCCCCATCTCACTGGGGCCCGCTTCAATACATCCCCATCTCACTGGGGCTCCGTTTCAATACATCCCCATCTCACTGGGGCCTGTTTCAATACATCCCCATCTCACTGGGGCCCGTTTCAATACATCTCCCATCTCACTGGGGCTCCTTTCAATACATCTCCCCATCTCACTGGGGCTCCGCTTTCAATACATCTCCCATCTCACTGGGGCTCCGTTTCAATACATCCCCATCTCACTGGGGCTCCGTTTCAATACATCCCCCATCTCACTGGGGCTCCGTTTCAATACATCCCCATCTCACTGGGGCTCCGTTTCAATACATCCCCATCTCACTGGGGCCCCGTTTCAATACATCCCCATCTCACTGGGGCCCCGCTTCAATTCAAATGGGATTATTTGTTACTATCAAAATATATATACTCATGGAAATGAGCACATTAAAGTACAGGTGTTCCTTTATTCTTTTCCAGGTTTCTTCACAAGGTATGTATTGCATTGTGAGTGAAATTCTGGGAATAAATAAAGGAACACTTGTACTTTCATGTGTTCCCTTATTTGTTTCCATGAGTATATATTCAATGACTAAGTGCAAGTGGAATGTCAACCAAGTCAGTCAATCTGACCAACGATCCCCTCCGTCGCTTCTCATAACAAGCATGGGTTGCTGATGAAGACCTATTCTAACGAAGATGTTCACTGGTATCCAGCTATTTCAACAGCTGATGGTCACCAATCTGGTCAAGCAGTAATGTGTAAGTGAGATACATGACCTAAAGTTTTGAAGAATGACACATACAAAACTGTCGCAAAGTGTTTTATTGAAAAATCGGTCACAAAACTGCTCATTAAAAACATGGGGGAAAATTACAAGAAGAAATATAGTCTCTACAAATATATATGGTTAATGTTACATCAAAACAACATGTGTAAAAATAAAAAATCAGTTTACAAGCAATAATAAAAACATATTATATTAACAAGATAGGTGTAAAAACAACAATTAGATTTAGAATATTGATAACAAATTGTTACATTTACAACATATGCGAAGAAATTGGTATATTTGTTTTAAAATGATGATGAAAAATATTGCATGCTAGTGCAAATCCCAAATTATTCTGGGATTCTAAGAACTATGACAAAATTGGTCTCTGTGCATGGAAAACTGTTTGAAAACTGTTGACCTCTGGATGAACAGTTTGATGTAGCAGCATTGGTTTAGAAGGGTACGGCACTGAGTGCATCCTCGGTAATACAGGGAATTATACCTCCACCCTATTAAGAGCCTCGACACATTCTCAACAATAGCTGGGATTCCCTATATCTGGTTAAAAGAGACACTGAACAATTCTCATTCACCCACACAAATGACAATGTTGTTTCATGATTGAAGCAAGCACTGCTATCAATGCTATTGGATATGTGCTGGTGTGCTCTCTTAAACCAACTGTTCATTGTATGAGTTTGTGTCACTCTAATGATGAGATGCTATAGCTGCCACAGCTCTGGTCCCTGTAATGACAAGATGCTACAGCTCTAGCCAATTTGGCAACCAGCTGCTACAGCTCTGGTCCCTGTAATGACAAGATGCTACAGCTCTAGCCAATTTGGCAACCAGCTGCTACAGCTCTTGTCACAGTAGGGACCAGCTGCTACAGCTCTAGCCAATTTGGCAACCAGCTGCTACAGCTCTTGTCACTGTAGGGGCCAGCTGCTGCAGCTCTTGCCACTGTAGGGGCCAGCTGCTACAGCTCTTGTCACTGTAGGGGCCAGCTGCTGCAGCTCTTGTCACTGTAGGGGCCAGCTGCTACAGCTCTTGTCACTGTAGGGGCCAGCTGCTACAGCTCTTGTCACTGTAGGGGGCCAGCTGCTACAGCTCTTGCCACTGTAGGGGCCAGCTGCTACAGCTCTCGTCACTGTAGGGACCAGCTGCTACAGCTCCTGTTACTCCAGAGACCAGTTTATTGTAGCGAACCCTTTTTTCTGCAGAGCATCATTAGTTTCAGAGAAACACTTACAGCCTGCGAACCTGGTATAACTTAGTGGGGAGGGGTGAGCATTCTTAATGATTTTGTGCTTCTTATCATCAATTAGTTTGCCCTTTTTCTGAGCAAAGTTTCCCCAGAGGATGAAAACGACAAATGGGCACTGATCACTGATGATCTTGATGACCTGGTCAGTCAGCTTCTGCCAGCCATAGTCTTTATGTGAGTTAGGGGTGTGTGCCCTGAAACAGAAGAGGTACCGGTAACCAACTGTAGGGATCAAAATAAGGAAATGAAACCTTCTGGCACCCAACGCAACATTAGGTAATAAGCTGACAAAAATAGGTTGCACCTGCAGCTCAATATATAGTGATTACAAAACTTGTGGGTGTTGAATATGGAAATTTGTCCAACTCAATATTCTTAAACGTTTTGATTTATTCACAAGCCAAATTTCCATATTCGACATCCACGAGTTTTGTGATCTATTTATTACACATAGGTTGGGAAAACAGTGTGATCCAGGATGAAATATCAAGAGGCCAGAGGTAAACAAAATGAAAGGGAGATAACTCTGTCATGACTATTTTAAAGGTAAAAATAAACAAAAATCTTCAGTTGACACTGTAAGAGACTGTAATTGAATTTTAATCATGTACAAACCTAATGTTTTGTTTGGTTGACATTTTTGGTAAAAAAATGCTTGAATGGAGTTTTAGTGTCAATTCAAAATATCAAGGTAGCAACAGAAATTTCTGCATTATGAATTCACCATTACTGAATGCACTCATTGGATAATTTACAACTGGTTACACAACACCGCATGTGTTTTGGGATGGTTAATATCCTGCTTTGGGAATAAACATTGTATTTAGGAAACCTTGGCAAGATAAACACATAGTTTTTATTTCCAATGCAGGATGCTGAGCACCACTGCTAGCTTCACATACAAAATGAGTAATGGCTGAAAAAATTCAAAAATAGATTTTTAATACGGCCACTACGGCCACCAATACGAAAATTCAGACTGAAACCAATTGAACATATATTCAGGTGTATTATATAAGGATCAGGACATGAAGATTAAGCTTCACGATTATTTGAGTGGTTTGAGAGGGTGTTTTTCACATTTTCAGTATGTTTACTGGTAGACACATTTGATTTTCCATCAAGCTGCTTTGTACGGAAGCGTAGTAGGGCCACGGTGAAAACTGTTTTGGTCTCATTATCTGCTACGTAGGACATAGTATCTCCTACATAGGTCATTGTATCTCCTACGTAGGACATAGTATCTCCTACATAGGTCATTGTATCTCCTACGTAGGACATAGTATCTCTTTCATAGGTCATTGTATCTCCTACGTAGGACATAGTATCTCTTACATAGGTCATTGTATCTCCTACGTAGGACTTATAGTATCTCTTTCATAGGTCATTGTATCTCCTACGTAGGACATAGTATCTCCTACATAGGTCATTGTATCTCCTACGTAGGACTTAGTATCTCCTACATAGGTCATTGTATCTCCTACGTAGGACATAGTATCTCCTATAGGTCATTGTATCTCCTACGTAGGACTTAGTATCTCCTACATAGGTCATTGTACCTCCTACGTAGGACTTAGTATCTCTTTCATAGGTCATTGTATCTCCCACGAGGGACTTAGTATCATCATTGTATCTCCTACGTAGGACTTAGTATCTCCTACATAGGTCATTGTACCTCCTACGTAGGACTTAGTATCTCTTTCATAGGTCATTGTATCTCCTACATAGGTCATTGTATCTCCTACGTAGGACTTAGTATCTCTTTCATAGGTCATTGTATCTCCTACGTAGGACATAGTATCTCCTACATAGGTCATTGTATCTCCTACGTAGGACATAGTATCTCCTACATAGGTCATTGTATCTCCTACGTAGGACATAGTATCTCCTACATAGGTCATTGTATCTCCTACGTAGGACTTAGTATCTCCTACATAGGTCATTGTATCTCCTACGTAGGACTTAGTATCTCCTACATAGGTCATTGTATCTCCTACGTAGGACTTAGTATCTCCTACATAGGTCATTGTATCTTCTATGTAGGACTTAGTATCTCCTTCATAGGTCATTGTATCTCCTACGTAGTAGTTATTATCTCCTACATAGGAGTTATTAAGTACTACGTAGGACATAGTATCTCCTATGTAATACTTAATATCTCTTACATAGGACTTAGTATCTGCTACTAAGGACTTACTGTCTCCTTTACGTAGGAGTTATTAAGTCCTATGTAGGACATACTATATCCTACGTAGTACTTAATATCTCCTACATAGGACTTGGTATCTCCTACGTAAGACTTACTATCACCTACGAAGTACTTAGTATCTCCTACGTAGGTCATTGTACCTCCTACGTACTTAGGACTCTTTCAGTCATTGTATCTCCTCTAGTATCATAGGTCATTGTATCTCCCACGAGGACATAGTATCTCCTACATAGGTCATTGTATCTCCCACGTAGGGTACTCTTTCAGTATCTCCTACGTAGGTCATTGTACCTCCTACGTAGGACTTAGTATCTCCTTACATAGGTCATTGTATCTCCTACGTAGGACATAGTATCTCCTACATAGGTCATTGTATCTCCTACGTAGGACTTAGTATCTCCTACATAGGTCATTGTATCTCCTACGTAGGACTTAGTATCTCCTACATAGGTCATTGTATCTCCTACGTAGGACTTAGTATCTCCATTGTATCTCTATGTAGGTCATTGTATCTCCTCATAGGTCATTGTCTCCCAGTAGTTATTATCTCCTACATAGGAGTTATTAAGTACTACGTAGGACATAGTATCTCCTATGTAATACTTAATATCTCTTACATAGGACTTAGTATCTGCTACTAAGGACTTACTGTCTCCTACGTAGGAGTTATTAAGTCCTATGTAGGACATACTATATCCTACGTAGTACTTAATATCTCCTACATAGGACTTGGTATCTCCTACGTAAGACTTACTATCACCTACGAAGTACTTAGTATCTCCTACGTAGGACTTAGTATCTCCTATGTAGGACATTGAAGGAGATTAGCGATATATATTAATATACATTAATTTGAAATGGTCGACTTAAATCCCCAGACACGCAAACAATCCCCTGTTTCAGTGTTTCAGTCAGTGTTGTATACAGTCATGTGTTTCATTCACTATTAGAGTCTACTATCCCGTGTTTCATTTCCTATTAGAGTCTGGGTGGTGGGGTAGCCTAGTGGTTAAAGTGTTCGCTCGTCACGCCAAAGACCCGTGTTCGATTCCCCACATGGATACAATGTGTGAAGCATATTTCTGGTGTCCCTCCGCAATGATGTTACTGGAATATAGTTAAAAGCGGCGTAAAACTGAACTCACTCACTCACTCACTATCTACTATCATTTGTTTCATTTACTATTAGAGTCTTGTGTTGAACTTATTGCTGCACATTACTGTCACGTGTTGGACCGACTGTTATACTTTACTGCCTTGCGCTCATTTTTCTCTACTATTACGCGTTGCAGTTAGTTCACTGTTATGTGTTGCACTTTCTGTTACACTTTACTATTATGCATTTGATATTTCAGAGGTCGTTGCACATGGGTCATAATCTGCGTGCACAGACCTGTGATAGACTATCGGTGGCAATCTATGCCTGGTTATTCCACGATTCAGAAGCCGGTCGAGTGTAGTAGCTAAGTCGACACAGAAATTGTTTGTCAACAATATTTTCCCTGACCTTCCTCCAAGATAAAAGACAACATGACCATCTTCTTGTGAATAGATATTACAGCTTGTCGAGTTTGTGGCATTTCACATCATGGGGATTCTGCATTAGAACTAGACCCCAGTAGCCTGTGCTTGTGGTCTGGTGGACTTCAAGTGGATCCGGTTGGTAGGCTATGCGACATTTTTAATGCAAGTGACATTGATCATTGGCCAATTTATGTCTTTTTGTGTTACAGCGGTTTACCAATAACAAGAATGACAATTCTTTGCCTTTTTGAATTTCGTATTGTTTTACGCCGCATTCAACACTTTTTCACCCAGTGAAGTCAAGTCAAGTCAACCTGTAAACAATTTGTGGAAGTTGAAACATTTTAAAATCGACCAAACTATCATGATGTTATTTTACAAAACCTTTATTCAAAGTGTCATAAACTTTAATTTCTTGAGTTGGTTCGGGAACCTGTCTGTTCAGAATAAAAACAAACTTTCAAAAACCGTAAACACTGCGTCTAAAATTATTGGATTTCCTATCGAAAGTATCGGCATTTCTTATGAGCAGCAAATTTCAAAAAGGCAAACAAAATTTTAAGTGATCCTACTCACATACTCTTTTCTGAATATTCATCATTACCTTCTGGACGCAGGCTGCATATGCCGACTTTTAGAACAAACAGGGTTCGCCACTCATTTGTTCCTGCTAGTATTAGATGCATTAACAACAAATTCTGTGAATGACTTGTCTTTTAATTGTCAAAATTCTATTCAATATCTATGTTTGTGTACTAAATTGATGTATTTATATCCTGATTATTTCATGATTACCAATTGCAATGTTAGGTATGGCTGCTTTATGAATGAAAAACTGGAGAACGTATGATGCAAAACAAATTTTCCTTGGGACAATAAAGAATTATCTTATCTTATCTTATCTTATCTTAATCATGAACAAAGTGCAAACAACGAGCTTTGTATCCGATCCAACCTAGCCCCATCTGAAGACAAGCAACAACTTGCGGAGGAGTTTCATATCATAACCTCATCCCTCCCCACCCACCCCCCTCTCTCTCTCCCTCTGTGTATGAATAGAAGCATGTATGATAGATCAAACATAACGATACCAAAATTGCTATAACTGCACTTATCAATAGAAGGTTCACGTCACCCTAACGTTATACACAACAACACTGTATAGCAACACTGCGTTAGTGTCATGAAAATTCACTGACTCACATTTCTACTATCTAACGTCCTGCATAAACAAACAAACTTTAAAGAGGGAACTTTTTCTGGAATTATTCAATTGCTACGATTGGCATACGCATGTAATAACAACATTAAGCGTCACTCAGTACCCGGTTTCGAATTGTAAATACTTTCTAGCCATTACTAGCCTCTAAGTAGACATAAAACGTAACATTAAAAAAATGGAAGAAATTATTATTAAGTCTGGATGTGGTTGCTCGACTTAATAATTACGTGTGACCCATCAACATAACTGCAGCATTCTTATCAATTTCCCTTTCACCTCACGGAACATTATTTGTGTATATACGCAAATATTAATATATATTTATCATCTCCTACGTAGGAGATATTAAGGAAATAGTATGTCCAACGTAAGAGATACTAAGTCCTATGTAGGAGATACTAAGTCCTACATAGGAGATACGAAGTCCTACGTAGGAGCTACGATGTCCTACGTAGGAGATACGATGTCCTACGTAGGAGATACTAAGTCCTACGTAGGAGATACTAAGTCTTACGTAGGAGATACTAAGTCCTACATGTAGGAGATACGAAGTCCTACGTAGGAGATACGATGTCCTACGTAGGAGATAAAGAGACCAAAAACATTTTCACTGTGGCCCTACTACACTTCCGTAGCTTTGAACTATATGGCCTTACTGAGGATCATCCTGTTGACCGCTTTTCACATCTAGGGCCCTTTGTTTTTTTCAGAATAAAAGATTCATCCTAGTGAAAATATTGATATTAAAATTGGATGCTTTGATGTGTTAGTTTATTTGTTTATTTGTTGTTTTAAACCCTGCACTCAGCTGTTTCCAGCCATAAGACATCTATCCCCTTAGTTGTGTCTGAATAAAAACATGAGTTGCTGAAGACCAAACCTAACCCTGGTATGGATGATTTGAAAAGCCATTAACACCCATACAGAAACTAGAGGTGTGACGATACAGAAATTTCACGAAACGTATCGCGATATCTTGGAACGATACGATTCGATATGATGCGTATCACGATATGCTATCTTTAGTTATTTTCTATAAAAAAGTGTATTTTGAAAACAAGTAACAGTGTAAATTTTGACATAACCGTCAATTTCTTGTGAAAATTCACAATGTTTAGGTCAACGATACATATCGCGATACGAAAAAAAGCATCGATATATTTATTGTCAGAAAAGGTATCACGATTATCGATACTACGAAATATCATCACAGCTCTAATAGAAACAAACATCCAAGCCATTATGAGAAGAGGACAAAAATATAGAATTATTACTTCATAATATTTTCGGACAATGCTGATAGCACACAAAACGACAAAAGCACACACCGTGACACAGGCCAGGTGAGCTAAAAAGCCCTCAGCAGTCACCTCTATATATCACACAAACGCTACGAGACAAACTTACTCCACAGTGAGCGTAGCATTGAGAAGGAACACTCCTTGTACAGCCCATTTCTCTAGACTTCCGCCAGCAGGCGTCTTGAACCCTGGGATGTCTGTTGTCAATTCCTTGTAGATGTTCTTTAGAGATGGAGGAACAGCCAGTCCATCTGGCACCGAGAACGCCAGCCCTTCCGCCTAAAACCAAAAACACTTGGTTTCAAATTATCCAAAACAGTTAGAACCAGATCCCCATATACTACACAGTTACCTCCCTTAGACCACTCGTAATGTCTCACTTAACAAATATTGAAAACAGGCATTGACACAATGTTGTTGGAAGTTTTCAACACTGTGATATTTTACGATCATATTCAGTAATAGCAAGACAAAGTTATATCAATCTTCAAAACGTGTACAAATAAAATAATTCAAACTCAATGGCTATGTCTCAAAAAGCCCAGGGCATTCCTTAAGAAATTCCTGGAATTTCCTGGAGAATGACCATGAAACTGACTGCAGAGGTTAAGGCTGTGAAAGAACAACCCAATTGAACAATAGCATGATGTCACTTGAGGTTTATAAGTGAGTTTCTCACCTGCCCGTCATCGTGGTATGGGTCTTGTCCAAGAATCACAACTCTCACCTGAAAAACAACACACATTGTCAACATGCCATAAAAAATGGTACCACTGTGTTGAAATCAATAAAGTTGCCCCTTCTCATATTTATTTCATAACACATCCACTGTTAAACCTTATAATACAATCATATCCCCATTGCCTAGAGCAATGCTTCTGATTTTAATCACTGGATTGTCTGGTTCAGACTTTTTTTTTTACAGCCACCACATAGTTTAATATTGCTGAGTACAGCGTTAAATAACAAATAAACAATCAGGAATTCAGAAATCTATCATATATATACACCCATGCATACATATACAGAATGGCCCGTGAAGATCCGGGTTAGAATGTGAATTTAGTAACCCATGCTTGTCGTAAGAGGCGACTAACGGGATCGGGTGGTCAGGCTCGCTGACTCGGTTGACATATGTCACCGGTTCCCAATTGCGCAGATCGATGCTCTGTTGATCACTGGATTGTCTGGTCCAGACTCGATTATTTACAGACCGCCGCCATATAGCTGGAATATTGCTAAGTGCTGCGTAAAACTAAACTCGCTCACTCACATATACAGAAAATCATAATATACTGTATATGCAGTAATAAGATTCCTGGTGTACAGAAAACATAACCGTAACAAATTATACCCTTTCAGAGAGATCAAGGGTAGGTTAAAATATCTCCTCAATATTGATGAAACAAAAGGACAATTTAACCACCCAATATTTCAAAATATTTTCAGATTATCAATTAAAGTTTTAGTTCAACAAATCTGACGCCTTTACAGATTCAGATCTGTGACCTAACTTCACACTTTCACAAAAATGTTTACCTTCTCAATTGGGGTCAGGTTAAAAGCATTAAAAATCTTTTCTTTTGGAGGAAAGATCTGCTTTGCTCCTGAATAATCTGGCTCCAGCTTTTTCTGGAGGTCTTCAAAATACTTCTCTTTGAACACTTCCTGTAAGGCTTTTGTCCAGCTGCTTTCCGTTAGAAGGGACTTCAGGTCAAATGATGATGACTTGCTTGCTTTCGCTTCTGCCACTTTTACAGGTGCTGAAGAATCATGAGGAAACAAGTATGGCAATTTAACACCTTTTACACATGTCTAACATCCTAAGAGAGACTTCAGTTTTTCAATATTTTCATGATATTACTAGGGTATAATTAAGAGGAAATCGGCTGTAAATCTTTAAATGATGCCCCATGGAAGGTATTGTGTGCAAGACAGAGTGGTCAAGGTCATATTACATTAACTAGGAACCTATATCGTCCAGAATTAATCAAGGACACTTTTAAAATACACACTATTTTTATCTTAAAATGTTAACCTTTTGCTCAAAGGTTGTTTGTTTGTTTGTTTGTTTAACACCACAGCCAACAATATTCTTGCTAAACATGTAAAGAATAATGTCTGGACTATACAATCCAGTGATTAACATCATGAGCATTCATTCATCAATGCTACCAGGGCATGCATCAACATGTTTAAGGAACAAAATAATTGTTGGTTTACTTTTATGCCCGTTCAACCTTTTCCAAGTATTTATGGGGGCGGTGGGGTAGCGGTTATCTCCCAATTGACAGACACCCATTTGACAGACACCCAATTGACAGACACTGAGCTAGAAGGTTAATTAGGGTAACACCTACGGGTATAATGGAACAGTCTACTGTCTAGTGAGTAGAGCAGGGTGAGCCTGAAACAGGTTTGTTACTGAGAAGTTTGATTGTGGGTAAGTAGAACTATGTTGTGATTAAATCATAAATGATTTCTCTTCTCAAAATTTATTTTACGATCAATTACTATCCATTATAAAAAACAGGTTTGTCACTGAGAGGTTTGATTGTGTTTATTGATAGAAAAGCCCCATCCCAATAATAGCATATGTACAACAGAAGTTAACTGTGAAAACGTGTTGTTGGAGAGATATAGATATGTACATATTTGAAAACATTCTGATTTGCAGTAAATGAGACACCTGCATTGCCATGTAAATAAATCGTAATTAAGTGCACTCGTCATATATCTTAATATTGTGTGCAAAACATATAACTTCTTTATTCCATATGAATAATATTAAGGTTCACATTTGTCTGTATTTGGTTTATATGATACAACAGTGTCGCAATTTCTAATAGCTAAGCTAATGTTTTCAATATAATGATGCCCACTCCAGTTAGACTAGAAGGTTAAACCGAACTGTTTATGAAAATTAACTGTTTTTATATTGCAGCAATGAAAATTCAAATTACTGTCTTTTCTTCCATCTTTCAAAATAAATCATATAGTTTCAATTCAGGTTGTTCCTGTGTTTTTTTGGCCTATTCCATTATAATGTGTAGGTAACAGGTAGTAGATAATCTGTTCACTGAACCGTAAATGTTGTTGTTTTAAGGTGTCTGCGAACTGGCTGTCTGCGTAATGGGAGGACAACGGGGTAGCCTTAAAGCATCCGCTCTTCCTGCCGAAGCTCCAGGTTCGATTCACCACATGGGGGGCGTGTACATGTGTGTGTGTGCAAAACATTAACTTCAATGTGGTCTTTAGTCATTTTCAAAGGGGAGGGTAGGAGAGAGGGCTTAAAAACAAACACCCATAAAAATCCTGACTCCACAACATTTATTTGAGGATCTACAGTACTGGTATTTACTGTTAAAACCTGGCTTCCTGAAAATGTTTATTTACAGACCGCTGCCATATAGCTGGAATATTGCTGAGTGCGGCATAAAACTATAAACTCACTCACTCACTCCTGAAAATGTACTGATTTAATTCACTAGTCATTTTATATGTATATAATTTATTAAAAACAAAAAAACCATGCTGCTACTTTATCACACCAGCCCCCTCCATCCATGCTGTTGATCACCGGATTGTCTGGTCGAGACTTGATTATTTACAGAATATTGCTGACTACAGAATACCTCATGCAATAAGTTGAACAGGATCAACTACATACAGTTTCGGTTTTGGGTTGCGGAATATATAGTTTCGTCCTCCTGTAGGGTACCATTACGTTTCTGTATAAATTTGACTTTGTTTAGGGTTCACGTCTGTATATAGAAACGTACCTGAGGTACATATATGTAAGTACCTGAGCTGACAACGACCCCTTCAGCATTACTGAGAGCCTATGAGATTCTCTAATCTTACACCTGGGTCATTTCCAAAGACAGGTGAGTAGGAAATTAAATGAAAAGAAAAAATAGCTTATTATGGGCAATACGGTAGTTCACTCTCGACCTATATGTCTCCTTGTGTCTACAGAGTATTAGTGTTGTGAATTGGTTGAAATCTCACAATTGATGATTGGTTCAATACCAACAACCAATCATCGAAAAAAATTGGTTCCCGTCATTTTTTAGATTTTCCTATTCAGGTTGTAGTTGCAGATAGGTATAAAGAAAAAACATTTGGTTCTCTGTTGTTGTTTTTTAAAACTGCACAAATTACATTTGCAAATTTCACATCCAGTGTAAAATGATTCAGTTCCAGTGTAACATAAACTTCCCAGATTCTTCAAGAAATATTCAGTCATGACTTTTCAGAAAGTGAAGTGAGTTTTCTTAGAAATAAACACTGACAACGTCCTAGATATGTTCCATCATCAAGTATTTCAAACTCTATTACAGCAGTTCCAAAATCGTTTGTGTTCGATTATGAGAAAAGGTGATCGATTGCTTGGTCGTTTGGCCACTGCGACCAATCTTCGATTATTTCAATTAATCGGACCATCACTACAGAGTATTATTCAGTGCAGTCACATTTTCATTACGAAACAAGCATACTTCAACAGTTGAAATCGATTTATGCGATGGTCATGCCACGACTTGTTCAAAGCAGTGTAGATCAACGAACGATGGATATTGCCGGTAAAACGCTTGTACTTGTAGTCAGTGATCAATGGCTGATCAATCGTGAGTTTCGACATTACCTTCTTTTTCTTCCGCACTTGGTTTGGCCTTATCATGTTTCCCTTTAGCCTGTTTCTTTGCCTTGGGTTGACCAGAAAGAGGAGCCAAGCTTTTGCGTTTGCGTGGCATCGTTAGATTGCCGTGTCAACTGGAATCAAGTTTCAAAACACAACTCGCGACCTAGATAGATTGCGGAAGTAACGAAGGCAGACGCTTTCGTTCAAGTTGGTAGAAGCGGGAGTAAAATCCTCGTTTACCTGGCCTTGCTAAATGTCACATTTATGTCCGCGTAATAAAAGCTGGCGCAATGGTAGACTAATGCTTAGTCTCTGAATATGCATTATTTCGATTGTAACAAATAAACACATTTAAATTGAAAAGGATCCCCAGTGAGTTGGGAGAATGAAGAAATCTAGACTTGCTTCTTTTAGAGCTTTAGCATTGCAGGAGGGCTAGGGCATTACCTAGGGAAATAATGTGGTTCAGGGACTGTGACACAGACTAAGCGCAGTGGCAGTGATCTTATTTAGCCTTGGAAATCATGTGATTAAACAAGCACCATACCTCAAAGCTTGTCACAATACAATATGTTTTTGTTTTAATGTTTTCACGATATAGCTGGTCCTAGAGAGCGTGAGCTAACAAGATATCCATACTGGCGGGTGTTCCATGTAGCCTGGCGCCCATGCATGTATAATAAATATTTCAAAGAAGCAAGTCTAGATAAGCGGACAGTCTGAGGACGCCACTCTGGTTTTTATAATTTGTATCGAAATTTTCGTTTAAACCAATAATAATTATCTTAAAAACTTGTGCAAGTTTAATGTCCATGCTGCTTTTAATTTTTATGGGTGTGATGATGATTCTTATGGAGAAGCATGTACAATGTGAATGACACCCCCTTCCCTAACTAAACTTTATGTACAAAGTCAGTGCCACCCCCAACCCCCACATTGCATGTCATGTATTTTTATGTACAAACTGCATGCTGCCACCCCGTACATGTGTACAAAATTCATTCATAACGACCCCCCACCTCCCCAGAACAACATGGGTGACCCCCTTAAAGTCAATCTCTCTTCCTTCAAACCCCATCCCCACCTCTCTCTCTCTCTCTCTCTCTCTCTCTCTCTCTCTCTCTCTCTCTCTCTCTCTCTCTCTCTCTCTCTCTCTCTCTCTCTCTCTCTCTCTCTCTCTCTCTCTCTCACACACACACACACACACACACCTCAATAATATCAATAATTTTTGTTAATGCACAATTGGTGACAGAATGCTTCGGACAAACGCAAACGAAATGATACTCATATTTGTCCATTTCTAACATTTAGCTATGTAGATAATTATTACAATTTCTTAATTCTCCTGGTGTGTTATTGTATGGTTCACTTTCAACATTTAATTTTTACATGCATATTCTATACATTTTAATTGCTTTAATCAAATGCTAGTAAGTCTACTTTCTGTGTATTATTCACAATACAACTGATTCATTACATGATCCATTGAGCGGTCATTAAGAACAGATAAAGGTGAATTATTTTTAAAATATAGATCTATAATGAATAATCCAATAGGATCCCATAATAATTCTACAGTTCTTCAAGCATGAGACTTGCTCGACCCTTTCTACATGTCATCAAGCATGAGACTTGCTCGACCCTTTCTACATGTCATCAAGCGTGAGACTTGCTCGACCCTTTCTACATGTCATCAAGCATGAGACTTGCCCGACCCTTTCTACATGTCATCAAGCATGAGACTTGCTCGACCCTTTCTACATGTCATCAAGCATGCGACTTGACCGACCCTTTCTACATGTCATCAAGCATGAGACTTGCCCGACCCTTTCTACATGTCATCAAGCATGAGACTTACTCGACCCTTTCTACATGTCATCAAGCATGAGACTTGCCCGACCGTTCTAGATTGGAGATGAGCTCCTTTCTTAATTTATTCTGTAGAGCATGTGAGACCGATTGACACGACATAAGCATAATGTTCAGTGATTAAATTTATATTTTTTTACCGCCGCATTCAAAATTTACTCAAATATTTAGTAGTACGTTGTTTTGTGTCTAAGCATAAATAGTTCTATTTATCATCCATGTGAAAATGTGAAAGCAGAATTGTGGGGATTTGGGTTTTTTTTAACGCCGCTCTCAGCAATTGTCTTGATTCTGTCTATAAATAATCGAGGCTGAACCAGATAATCCAGTGTTTGACATCGTGAGGATTGATCTCCGTAACTGGGATACGATGACATGTATCGAGTAAGTCATGTGCATCCTGTCGTAAGTCGCATGGGTTTCGTGAGACGCATTTTTCATTTACCTTGAACTTCATCTATACCACAATTCGTTCAACTCTCAGGACCAGCATTTGGGTTCTAAGGGAAATAATTGCTACCCCGTGGAAATCCATTCTAAACATTAAGCACTACTCAAAGGCAGTTTCCATCTTGATCATTTAAGCGCTGAATCCTCATGCATTTCCTTGTGATATACACAATCTTGAAGATCTATACAAAACAGAAAACGAAACTAAAACTGAAAAACTGACAGGTTTATAAAACATTCATTGAGGAAATCGGTATGTGGCGAATTAAAAGCTCACTTATGTGCACTCTTTCAGTGGTCGTCGATGTAGTGGTGGTGATGATTATGACAACGTCAGTTGATAATCGAGTCTTCGCCAGACAACCCAGAGATTGATATCATGAGCATCATATATAGTCAACTAAATCACATAGCCTGAACCAAGCGATCCATATAGTCGCCTCTTATCCCAAGCCTCTCGGTCATCACATGAGTGATAGTATCTCTCAAGTGGAAGTCTGTTAATGCCTATCTATTGCAAACGACGGACGCCGATAGTTTCAACAGATTTGCTTACAGATTAATATTCTGGGTACCAAATATCAGCCAAAGGGGTGCTGTGGTTGTTGTCGCCAGTCATTGGAGTCGATTATCAACATGCCAGGTGATGATGATGATGATGATGACGACGACAACGAAGATGACATGCGCCATGATGATGAAGAAGATGACGATGACATGCCCGATGATGATGATGATGACGACGACGACGATGACACCATGATGATGAAGATGACGATGACATGCGCGATGATGATGACGATGACGATGACATGCGCGATGATGATGATGATGATGACGACGACGACGATGACATGCGCCATGATGATGAAGATGACGATGACATGCGCCATGACGATGACGATGATGATTATGATGATGACGATGATGACGACGATGACATGCGCGTTGATGATGATGATGTAACTTTATCTTTACAAATACCAACATGAACGTTCAAAGTTATGTCTTTCCACAATAGTCGCCCCTTACAACACAAAGACATCTCAACAGATGTTGTTGTTGCATGCATGTACTCTTGAAAATTAAAGGACAAATTGATACTGTCGATGTGAGTGAAACAGTTCACAACAATTGCCCTCATTTGTTAACAAATATTAATCAATTGGGGCTGAATACAGAATTGCTAGCTGTTGATAACTCGATTACATACCACTATGCCATGAACAGATGCAACATGCATCTGTTGCTGAAGACCACGTGTACTGTGCATGATGGACAGAGTGAGTGAGTGGGTTTTAACGTTTTTAGCAATATTCCAGCAATATCACGACGGGGGACACCAGCAATGGGCTTCACACATTGAAACCATGTGGGGAATTGAACTCGAGTCTTCGGCGTGAAGAGCGAACGCTTTAACCACTGGGCTACCCATCACCACCATGATGGACAGAACAAGCACTATGTACATATGCACAGAAAACCCGGCCCGTGGATAAAGTAAACGGTTGCCTAGAACTGCGATGCGATATGTTTATGGCAGGCTCAAATAACCGATAATCGGGAATATCGTCGATGGGAAATACTATTAATGATTATCGATATCTAAATTGTGTTATCGATAATATCGTATATTAACTTTTGTGATAGAAAAACGGGTTTTTTTTATATTTTCTCACAATATTCAAATGTAGAACTTTATTCATGGTCTGCTTCTATAAATTATGTTCAGGATGCTGTTTTCTAATACGAGGGTCGGTCCAAAAGTAATCGGCCTCACTTACAAAATGATACACATACAGCTGATTTTATGTTTTATTTTTATTCATATTATCTGTCAGCCTCAAGCAAATTGGTTTTGCTATGTTCCAGCCTCACGATCCCAATTTTGTTTGACTCTTTTATCTTATATCTAACACCCCTCACCCCCCACCCCACCCCCAACGCAATATCTGCAATAACTGCACCACAAACAGGAAACAACATGTGCAAAAAACTTTTTCTGTGTTGGAGATAGGTAGAAGTCCACTTGAATAGTAGAATCAAACTTAGATAATTAAAGTGCATAAAAAAGCAATTAGAAACTACACTCGTTTTTAAAGTAAAACAGCCTACATGTTTACTGAAAGAGCTTGTTTTGGAGACGCTACCCACACCCCTTTCAGATGACGTAATCATAAGGACATAACCTTATTATGATCTTTTCACTTATTCATACATGACGCCAAGGGTTCAAGCTACATACTGAATGGTCACAAGTGTCAGCTCTCAATATATTGTAAACAGTGCCAGCTTGAATATCTGGACAGTGTTTTTGAAAGATTAAAACAGTCCCGTCTAAATATAAATCAAGCAATCCAAATCTTTGAATGTTGGTTATAACAGAAAGTCATCCAATTCTATACTGAACAAATCTATATGGTATTATCTTAGGGCATACCATTATCCAAGCCGTACCAAATCCTTTTTCATTTTCTGCAATTTTTTTAGAAATAATTATACTCCAATGTAGGGCGGTGGGGAAGCTTAGTGGTTAAAGCGTTCGCTCGTCACGCCGAAGACCCGGGTTCGATTCACCACATGGGTTCAATGTGTGAAGCTCATTTGTGGTGTCCCCCGCCGTGATATTGCTGGAATATTGCTAAAAGTGGCGTAAAACCAAACTCACTCATTATACTCCAATGTGTTGTGATGACTAATATCTGGTTAACCACATGACCCACATAATGTGAACTTTTGGATATGGCCTTGCTAATGATTCCGTCAAAATAAAATGGAATCTTTTCAAACATTGGACATCGAGAATATAGTTAGGCCGACTAACTTTTTACCG